GCGTCCATGTCCTCATAGTAGGGATATTCGTAATAGTAGTTGTCATCCTCTGTGTTCTGAAGAGAAATGTAGAAACTAAGTGTTATTATATGTTAAAATACTGTATTATCACAATACAGAAAAAAAATCTATGGTACCTTAGTTTGTGTTAGCATGCATTTATTCATTTTCAGCTTTCTTAGTTCTTTTGTAAGTGCATATGGGTAGTTGACAATGTTCCATGTACTCACATGGAATGAGATCATACACAGTGCATGCATAATAACTATGTTAGCAAAATGCTGTTAAAACTTGTTTCAGATGGAATACAGCACATCCCACCACATGTAAAGCTGCACATGGATCCATTCTGGCAATGAGCAATACAAAAAAACAAATGAGTTCTGAGCCTGGGGACATGAACATGAGTTGAGCAGAGTCTCTTAAGAGTCTTTCAAGCACAGACATCTCGTAATTATGGTCATTAATTATGACATAGCATATGTCACGAACGCAACATATGTTAAGTATTTGTGTAAGTATTTATAAATGCATATATATTATAAAAAATAATAATAGCAAAATATAGCAAACTATTTAGCAAAATATTTGACACTTTAAAGGATATAATATGTAGAATATTTTTATTTTACTTTATTATTTATTATATTTATATAAATATTTACAATTTGAAAGAAATATATATGGTGTTTGTTCATTCAGACAAGATTTCATACTCTCATTCATGAGTTATACTCACAGCATGTTAATTAAACAATTCAAGCAGCGGTCTTGATTTAATAGACTCAAATTCTCTGAGAAGAAAGAGCAAAGGAAAGGAGGGATTCCCTCCGACTGAGTCCAGCAGAAATCCATGTTCTCTCTTATCTAGCAAATAAAACTGAAGAACGCAAGGAATTCCAACCGCTCACCGACCTCTCGCTCGGATTCACCGTTCTGCCTCTCTCTCCCTAATTCCCACACATTAGCAATGGATAACTCATCACGTTTTCATCTGTAAAGAGGTTTCGCTGATATTTAAATGGCAGACTCTGCTTTTGAAGGACTGGTCAAAGGTGCAGCGGGTTTTCTTTCATATTGCCTCCTACTAATGCCCCACACTCAGATTTACAGCTCCTGACACACACAAAACTGAAAA